TTTTTCTTTTTTTTGAGACAGAGTCTTGCTGCGTCGCCCAGGCTGGAGTACGGAGTGCAATGGTGTGATTACGGCTCACTGTAACCTCTGTCTCCTAGGGTCAAGAGATTATCCTGCCTCAGCCTCCTAAGAAGCTGGGACTACAGGCGCGCCACCACGCCCAGATAATTTTTGTATTTTTAGTAGAGACAGGGTTTTATCATGTTGGCCAGGCTGGTCTCAAGCTCCTAACCTCCAGTGATCCACCCACCTCAGCCTCCCAAAGTGCAGGGATTACAGGCATGAGCCAACATGCCTGGCCTTTTTTTTTTTTTTTTTTTTCTTTTTTTTGAGATAGTTTCACTCTGTCACCCAGGCTGGAGTGCTGTAAGACAATCTCAGCTCACTGCAACCTCTGCCTCCCATGTTCAAGCAATTCTCCTGCCTCAGCCTCCCAATTAGGTGGGATTACAGGTGCCCACCACCATGCCCAGCTAATTTTTGTATTTTTAGTAGAGATGGCATTTCATCATATTGGCCAGGCTAGTTTTGAACTCCTGACCTCAAGTGATCCGCCCACCTTGGCCTGCCAAAGTGATGGGATTACAGGCATAAGCCACCATGCCCCACCTTTTTCAGCCATTAAATAACCAAAACAAGAGCATGTTTTTTATTAAAACAATGTTGGCAATTATTTTATTCTGTCATTCTTCCTCCACACCCCCGCCACCCACCCCCAACCCCCAAGACGGAGTTTCGCTCTCATTGCCAAGGCTGCAGTGCAATGGCGCCATCTTTGCTCACTGCAACCTCCACCTCCCGGGGTCAAGTGATTGTCCTGCCTCAGCCTCCCAAGCACCTTCATCACAGGCACCTGCCACCATGCCTGGCTAGTTTTTTATATTTTTAGTAGAGACAGGGTTTCACCATGTTGGCCAGGCTGTTTTTGATCTCCTGACCTCAAGTGACCCACCCACCTTGGCCTCCCAAGCTGTTAGGATTACAGGAGTGAGCCACTGCACCCGGCCTATTCTGTCATTCTTTAATCTCAAGTAAAACAGCGTCCTCACTCTCCTTCTATCTCCTTCTAAGCATGCTTTCTATCACTATTTTGAATCCATTTCTTTCATACTAGAAAACTTGAGAATTTTCTTCTTTCCCTCTCTAAAAACAACATGCATCAAATCTAATTAACAGAATTTAAACAAATCTTTCTGATGGTACTGTCCACATTTTATTATCTCAGAGCTGGGCAATGAATACTTCTCTAAGTAGTTTCTTTCCATATACTAACTTGGCTTTTAAATCACTGGTTCCCAAACATAGATCCACAACTGTTACTTTTCATACACCTGGGGATAGGAGTAGAAAATGATAGGTTCCTAGGCCTTACCCTAGAGATTCTCATGTAGTAGGTCTGAGATGTGGCCTGAATGCCTTACCAAAAAACTAAAAGGGCATTCACACCAGCGCTCTATTTCAGAACTGCTGGTTACAACACTGGACAGAATATTATACTTCAAAAGCCACTAGTTTCCTCCTGACTTTGACCTATTCAAAAAAGTGTAGTTCACAGTAATTTCAGTCAGGTTCCTAATCTTGACATTTTATCAGGTTACCTTGTTCCATACTAATAATCCAATCTATAACTCCTTTGATTATGCAAGTCTTTTTTGCTATTGTTGGCATAACCTTGCTCATTCCTCTTCAAATTCACTAATTTTCTTTTCCTTTTCTTTCCCATCCAATAAAAATCATATTAGACCTTCAAGAACCAATGCTTCCTTGAAGCCTTCCCAATTTTAGATAGCTTTAAAATATCTAGTAGATCAACCTCCTAAGGGCTGTTTCCTCAGCCGTAAATAACAATTTGACTAGTCTTTATCTCAAAAGACTGCTCCAGCTATAAAACTTGTTCTACACTAATGTCTTCCCTTTTTAACCTCCTAAAGAATGCACTATTTACATTAACTATTGGTTTATATTTTGACACACATTATTTTAGAACAGCTGTTAAATGTATACTTCCACAATTAGATCATCTATTTGACTCCATAGCAAGAACTGAGGTATTTCTATATTACCTCAAAGCCTGTAACTCAGTGGCTAAGATACCCACCTAAATTATTATTGATTAAACCACAATTTCCTTTTTTCTAACATATTCAATCTCTCCTCCTTCCTTTAAATGAACATGAAAAAACAAAACCCGCCACTGACGAATGTTACTAACATAGTTGCCCCCAGACTCAGTCCTCTCCATTATTAGTCTCCCATCAATCCTGGATTCAATCTTTCATTTGTTTGATTTACTATTCCCACCCAGCTATTGGATGTACATTTATAATATCTGCCATCACTTCAAAAATCAAGCCTTCAAAGTGAAACTTTCTTTTCCACACATCTTCTTTCATTCTATTTTTTATCACTATCGTCATTCTCTTCTTAATCCTTCTTTCCTTCCAGTCTCCTATTATATCCAGTCACGCAATCTCTTGTGCCTCCTCAGTGTTTAAGACTCATTCTTCCTCAGCCTCCATAGCCCCTACCATCATCTTCATCATCTGAATAATCCAACAATCAACAACCCTTTTGATTTGTCACTATCAACTTCTAAGTAATTTGTCTCTAAAGAATGGAATTCTTAGTATTGTTTAAGTATTTCCCACCTCCCTCAGAGTACAACTATTCTATTATTTTAAAACCAAATCAAATTCATTCATTCAACATATTTATTGAACATATACTATGTTCTAGATACTGCTCTAGGTGCTTGGGAATGGGCAGTGAACAAAATTATATTGCTCTTCCAACACCTGAAATGACCTATGGCAATCCAATATAATCAAGGGTACCTTTGAGTAGTTGTTTGTTTGTTTTTTGTTTTTATCCTGGAGTGCAGTGGCACGATCTCAGCTCACTACAACCTCTGCCTCCCAGGTTCAAGCGATTCCCCCACCTCAGCCTCCCAAGTAGCTGAGATTACAGGCGTGCGCCACCACAACTGGCAAATTTTTGTATTTTAGTAGAGATGGGGTTTCCCTATGTTGGCCAGGCTAGTCTTGAACTCCTGACCTCAAGTGATCCACCTACCTCGGCCTCCCAAAGTGCTGGGCTCATAGACATGAGCCACTGTGCCCAGCCTTAGAGTAGTCTTCTTAAGTAGCTGCCTTTGATTAATGATTTATTTATTCTCATTACCTTGTCAAGAATTAGTCCTTTATAAAAGGATCAACAAAAATTTTCAAATGACTTTAATTCAAATTATTGAACAGCCACTCTTTAGCTATGTGACCCTAGGAAATGTCTCAGTCTCAGGCCGTGCGCGGTAGCTCACACTTGTAATCCCAGCACTTTGGGAGGCTGAGGTGGGGGGATCGCTTGAGCTCAAGAGTTAAAAAGAGACCACCCTGAACAACATGGTGAAACCCCGTCTCCACAAAAAAACAAAAAATGAAAATTAGCCAGGTGCGGTGCTGCAGGTGAAGCTGAGCACCTGAGGTAAGCTCAGGAAGCTGAGGTGGGAGAATTGCTTGGGCCTGGGAGGTGGAGGTTGCAGTGAGCTGAAATCATGCCAGCACTCCAGCCTGGGTGAGACCGTCCCTCAAAAAAAAAAGCAAGAAAGAGGAAAAAGAAAACAGAAATGTCTCAGTCTCGACTGGGCTGATGGCTCATGCCTATAATTCTAGCACTTTGGGAGGCCGAGGCAGGCGGTTCACTAGAGCCCAGGAGTTCAAGACCAGCATGGCGAATGTGGAAAACCCAGTCTTTAAAGAAATTCAAAAACCAGTCGGGTGTGGTGGCCCATGCCTGTGGTCCTACCTACTCAGGAGCCTGAGGTGAGAGGATGGCTTGAACACAGGAGGCAGAGTTTGCAGTGAGCCAAGATCATACCACTGCACTCCAGTCTGGGCGACAGAGCCAGACTCTGTCTCAAAAAAAAAAAAAGTCTCAGTCCCTCTAGCCCACTCAGGAAAAAATGAGCAAAATATCTGCCTTGTTGTGCAGAGTAAGATATGTAGATACAGTGTAGGTATTTATTTATTAATGTTAGTTGTCTCTTAGAATACACAAAAAATATATTATTCAATCCAATGATAATAATCAATTCCAATCAGAATACTGTTGGCCACTAAGCAAATGGTGAAAGAACAGCAACTCTATCACTGTATTTGAATAGTTATCTTAATATTTCAGATGTATTTAAAATATTTACTATAAAAATCCTAAGACTAAAGTAAGAGTAGGATTAATTCCTAAGTACTTAATAAACCCATAAAATCAGTAAGGGACCAAAATTAATTATAAATATATATATGTAAATACTTTCAAGTTTAAATAGTTTTACGTCTACAGCATTTTCCTGTCTTTTAATTCCAAGACTTACAATATCCCAAGATCAGCTTCCTCCTCTTCATACGGTAAATAGAAAAACAAAAACCTGGAAATGGGAAGACTAGTATAATACAACTAGAGAGTTGAAGCTTAAGGAAAGAAAATGTCTATGCACTTTACACACAAAAAATGAATTATGGAATTAACAGATCCACATATCCAGTAAGAAAAATACTATGCAAACACACATGAGCTTTTAGAGTAGCCTGTCTTGAACTTCAAAAAAAGCACACAATCTCTGAAAAAATTCAGAATACAGGCAAAAATAAAATGTCAAGAATGAGGTTGGTGGATACAATGAGTCCTATAAGGGACCAGTACATTTGCTATGAGACAGACTACACTCACTTTCACCTTCCAGCTTTACTGTTAAGGCTGAGGTGAGAGGACTGCTTGATCCCAGGAGTGAAAGACCAGCATGGGCTGTTTAATGAGACCCTATCTCTACAAAAAAAAATTTTGTTTTAAATTAGCCAGACATAGTGGCATGGTGCCTGTAGTCCCAGTTACTTGGGAGGCTGAGGTAGGAGGATCGCTTGAGCCTGGGAGATCAAGGCTGTAGTGGGCCATGACCGTGCCACTGCACTCCAGTCTGGTCGACAGAGCGAGACCCTGTATCCAAAAAAAAAAAAAAAAAAACACAAAAACGGGGGGGGGAGCCTTTCTGCAAAGGGATTATATATAAATGAAAAATAACCCACATATAGTGAGCTCATCAGCCACTCATAAAAACCATTTAAGCATGAGGAAATTGCTATGTGTAGCTGGGGATTGAACTAGAATTGCTTTTCCCAAAATCCTTAATAAACTATTTACTTCAGGAGGTAAGAGGTATCAATTTTAAACTTCTGTAAGTGAAATTTTAAGCTATGCCAACATAATCTTCTTTGACCTATAACTTGCACTATCACTCTAGATCAATTTAAATGATAAATATCAGTTTCTCACAATTATTCTCAAAGCAATTACACAATAAAACAGCATTTGTCTTTTGGTACAACCATATCACATCCATGAGATTTGCCAGTTTTAACATACAATTCAAAGATCAAACGGTTGACAGATTAATGTATAGCTAACGATTAATACTAATATACAGCAACTAGGTTACTGTACACCAATTACAGGCTTACATTTGAAAAAACTACACAATCTGACTCCAGCGATATTAACCAACACAATCATCACTTATTTCCGTTAGGAAGCAGTATGTGCAAGATGAACAAAACAAAATTGATAGCTACTATGATGCTTTTACATAGGAAGGCACTCAACTATCTGCCACTAAATTAATCTAGTTTACAGTATTATCAGAGTGCAAAAGTTCCCTAAAAAAGAATTTAAATCTCACAAGACAACAAAGGTCTTTGGATCTTGGTATGTTCCAGAACCACTTGAAATCTGTTATTTCATCTAGCAGAGTCCTAGAAATCCCACTGGATAAACCAGAGTCAGATCCTGAAGTCCCATTTTTAGATTTCCAAGACACTAAATGATCAAAAGAGTTACAGTATGTAACTGGATCCATCCCCTTTTGAATTAAAGAAATCTAAATTTACATATACACAAGAGACTAGATGTTTGTGAGTTCATCAAGGTTAATATGGAGAATTACAAAAAATATATCTTAAATACTGTACTTTTAATTTAAAATGTCCTTATCAATTTTTTAGTTTCAAGCCGAAATGTATTCTTTGTAGTCTCCCCAGACTAGAATTCTAGTTTCTTGTTCCTACATAAACCAGATCAATAATGCATTGTCTACAGTTTTTTGTTCAACATATTTCAAAATAAGTTACCTAGATTTTTCTGGGGCAATCTGAAAGCAGACTTCCTTCTAGATTTCTATTTTTTCCCTATAATCTTTTAGTCATCGTGCCCACACCTAACCTGACTACAATGTTCTTCAGCAATTAATTTGCCTTTATCAAGTTTTCCAAAGCATTTAACTTAGTTTGTTTTTACACAGTTCTCTTTTCACATTCATTTATCATTGGTTTATGTAACATTTAATAGAATAATACAAACACATTACAAGTACAATGGAATTAGCCAATTTGGGAACAAACCTATGACTTCCATGAGCATTCAACTCAAATGGTGGAAGCAGCAGAAAGCAGTTTACATTCATTCAACTTACATGGACATTAGTATTTTTAAAAGAAGAATTATTAATCCTGCACACTGGTTAAATGAAGATTAGGGAAACATCTATAGTACCTACATAAAACATTTTAGAAAAAAAAAACTATAAATAGTGATCACTTTAGCATATGGTAGACCTTATACACAGAAGTCAGAGATTTACTTTTTTCCAGAAACAACTATCACAGAAAAGGCTAGAGAGCTTACTAAGAATTTTACCCCAATTAACTTATTGAATTCCCAAAATCACTCTACGAAATAGGTTCTATTATTATCTCCATTTTGCAGACCAAGAAACAAAAGCACAAAGAGGTAAAAAACATTGCCCAAGGTAGTACAACCTGATTTGAGAGCAATCAAACCAAAGTGGTATGGTTCTGGAGTCTCTACTCTATACAATACAGCTTCTAAAGAAGTACTGTTTTGAGTTCTTTTAACAAACATATGTTACTTTTACATCTTAAGAATTGGAGGTAAATAAGCCATGTTCCATATGTCATTCCCCAGTGCAAATTTTTCAGTAGCACTCCTCTTAAGTATATATGCTTTTATTCTGGCATTCAAGGCTCAACCACAAATTGATCCCAATTTGTACTGCTGTGATTTCAATTAAGCTCCTTATCCAAATAGCCTATAGGTTCTGGAAACCAATGAATCATCTTGAACTGGAATACACAAAAGCAGCAGACAGAGAGTCTGTCACATGACACTGTACAAAGACCAGTATTTGCTTACTTCAGATACTCTGAAAATAGTGGCCTGCCTTTTAAAGAGAAATGTCCAGCATGATTTCTTGGAAAAGTATAAAGCACCAAGAATCAGGACCTAAATTTTAAACCTTGATTAACCACTATCTAACTTTATGACCTTGGGAAAATCATTTAAACTCTCTGGAGCTCAGTCTGCTTATAAAATAAAAGCGGAGAACTGGAATACAAAAATGAGCTGCAGCCAGTACTAAAACCCAAATTCAAGGACCCACTCTAAATATTTGATTATACTGGTCTGGAAAGGGGCCCCAAGAATGTTCATTTTAATATAACTGATACATGAGGTCTTTGGGTCACAGTGAGAAAAAAATAACAAAGCGATCTCTTAAGTCAATTCTAAATGTAGATTCTTAACTTCAGTCAATTAAGGTGTTCCTTTACAAGTTCAGGATGGGAGTTCCGGCCTGAAAGAAAATCCTTTCGTTCACCGTGGGGCTTGCTTTTGTACCTTTTGCCATACCTTTTGTTTAAACACTGAAATAAGACTTAGTAGTACCACAAACTGAACTTCCATTAATCTGTTAAGACATATTTGCACACAGTCAATTCAAATTATTTTTTAAAGCACCTACCAAATGGTAAGTATCCACTGTATTTCATTAATTTCCACCGTTGTGAAATATGAAAATTTTAAGTTTTAGAGAATATGCACTCTGTAAGTCTCAAAATTTTCTTCTCCTGCTGTCTGAAAATTTCCAAAGAAATTAAATCATCCAAATTCACTACCAACATTTTGCTATCACTGAAAGAAAATACATAAAACTGATGAGTATTATTATAATGTAATAAAAGACTAAGTGTTTTCCTGTTTCTTTCCCTTTTCTTGTTCTTCTTAACCTTAGTATATATTTCTTTAATTACAAAGTTCTAGAAACCATATACCGCTTTGCCCTAGAGTTACAGATGTTTCATGCTCTGCTGTATTACCATCTGTGTATATACCATCTCACCAATCCCTTTTTAAAAATCATTAATGTGAAATGTATGTGAAAAAGAACCTATCTTAATGTTTTCCAAAAAATATTATTTTACTTTTTAAAAATTGCTTAACGGGGCCAGGCATGGTGGCTCACCCCTGTAATCCCAGCACTTTGGGAGGCCAAGGTGGGCGGATCACGAGGTCAGGAGATCCAGACCATCCTGGCTTACACAGTGAAATTCCGTCTCTACTAAAAATACAAAAAAATCAGCCAGGCCTGGTGGTGGGCGCCTGCGGTCCCAGCTACTAGAGAGGCTGAGGCAGGAGAATGGCGTGAACCCGGGAGGCGGAGCTTGCAGTGGGCGGAGATCGCACCACTGCACTCCAGCCTGGGCGACAGAGTGAGACTCCGTCTCAAACAAAAAAAAAAAAATTGCTTAACGATCTTTTTTTCTTTTTCTTTTTGAGATGGAGTCTCACTCTTCTCACTGAGGATGGAGTGCAATGGTGCAATCTCAGCTCACTGCAACCTCTTCCTCCCAGGTTCAAGCAATTGTCCTGCCCCAGCCTCCCAAGTAGCTGGGATTACAGGCACCCGCCACCAAGCCCAGCTAATTTTTTGTATTTTTAGTAGAGATGGGGTAATGGATTTTTTTTAATGGAGAAAGGGAGTATCAAAATTGAAAGACGTTTTCGGCCCTTTGAAATTAAGCTGCTGGCATTAGCAAATCATAAACCTAAACAATACAACTGTAACTCATGACTCATTTAGCAATAGTTTTAAAGACTAAATAAGGAACTAGAAGCACATCTTTTTTGTGTGTGTTCTGGATTTCAAATTAGATCAGCATCCAGGAAACTATTTAAATCCCATTTGGGTGGAAAACTGTACAGGAATATTATCCATATAATACTGTCTAACTTATCTATACTTTTCTTCCTTAAAATTTATTTTACTTGTGATTTTAAAAGCAGCCCATATGCCTTACAGAAAAACTGGAAGAGAAAAAACAAGAAAACGAAACTCCCACAATCCCAACTATCCAGAAACAAATCAGTTAAAAACCCTGGTGTATATGTATATACCCAAGTAAAGAAAAGAAGAAAATTTTTTTAATTAAGCAAAAGAAAAGAAAAACTTTCATGTATTTACAACCAACAGAGTAAAAACTTTATTCAGGCAAGAATCATCAATAGATGCTAAATCTTGAAGAGGAAAGTTTAATGAGGAAGGGGACATTTATACAATCTCAAAGTATCTCCCCACAAATTAATTAGTAATGTCAGAAAAAACTAGCAACTATACAATAGAGAAACTACTCAACACCTTAACCAAGCTATCACAATGAACATAATAGTAAAGGGCAAACAAACATCATATGCCTCCAGACGATAGAAAAACACATATTACTAAGCCAGTGTTCCAGCCAAAAATGCATAATCTGAATGAAGAAACCTTAAGACAAAGTCAAACTGAGGGGCAATATATAAATAATAAGCCTTCCAATGTCATAAAAGACAAAGATGGAGAAACTGTTCCAGATCAAAAGAGACTTAAGGGACAACAAAACTAAATGCAATCTGTGATCTTGGATTGGCTAATGGTACTGAAAAAAATGCTAATGAAGGACATAACAGGGACAATTGATAAAACTAGAATATAGACTATTTAGTATTATTACATCAATGTTAAATTTCTTGAATTTGACAACTACTCTGGTTACTTAGGAAAACATGCATGTTCTTAGGAAATGCATACTTCAGTAATAACGGCTGTAAAGGGGCCAGTACTACTGGCAATGAAACCCACTCTCAAATGGTTCAAGAAAAATAACAGGTGTATATATAAACAGAATAATAAAGCAAACAGCAAAATATCACAAGTCAGGTGATCTTGGTACAGAGTGTAAGAGAGTTATTCGTACTATTCAAGTAAATTTTCCGTAAATTTTAAATTATTTTTAAGTAAAAACCAAAAATACCTTGGTTTTTTAAGCATTCCTCATCATATGTGTGTGGCAATGTTTTAATTAAAAACTGAATCATCAGTTTGATGTATCAATTATTTAGTTTTGGAAGCCCTCCCAAATACCTTTGAACATCCCTGGAAAAAAGGTGATTGTTTTCAGGAGAATTAAAGCTGTCTCTCTCTTGCTTTACATCTGAGAAACGCCACTCTACACACCATAAACACCCACCCCACCACCATCTCTCTAACTAGTCTCAGATAATTAGAAGGGATCAAGATGGTGAATAGTGGCTCTTTGACACCTTGCCAATTCCTGTGAGGCCCATCTGTACTTTCTTCAAATAAATTATGTGAGATTTCCCTATAGCCTTATAACAAATCCTTTATTTAAGCTAGCTAGAGCTGATTTCTGTTCCTTGCATCCAAAAAACTCTAAGACAGCAGGCTTTTAAGAAGGTGAAATAAACTACGGGTTCTCTCAAAGCAGGGACAGTCTTATCTCTCTCTGTATCTGTGGTGCCAGGAAAATAATAGCTACTCAAATTCATCTTTTGTCTGTGCTTCAAAAATATTGTTACAGTGAAGGCTTAATGATGTAAGATGTAATAAGACTGTGTCAAGGCAACCAATTAAGCAGCTTCATTGAAAGAGAAGTAGAGACTTATTTTCTGGGTAAGAGTTACTATGTATCAGACCAACCTCAGACCCCTATTTATGGCTACTGGACCACAGTCCTAACCATTCCAATTAGTCACATCATGAATCTTCCCATCTCAGCCACTTCATTAAAGAGGAAATGGGGTTTTCAAATTCCTGAACGCTGTCTTTCTTTAAATGTTATATAAAGCAAGATGGTAAGAGGAACTCAAGATTATCTCTCTGTAAACTCAAAAATAGAAACAATTACATATATTAGTCTGTGAAATAAGAAAACAAAAATATTAGAAAAGTGTATCTTTCTCATACACATTCTCCTTACATGTGGAACCTCTGAAAGACCCAAATTATGTTTTCCTCACAGTATCCGAAGTGGTAATGGTTAATTCTTTTCACCATATTCCTCACTTTTTACTAAAACCCACTGACACTAGGCTTCATCTTAGGCCAAACAGTAAAGAGAACAGGAAAACATATTTAATCTTTAAGTTTAAACTTATTCAACTAAAATAAGTTTAAAATAATTTGTAAGTGTAAATTTTTCAGACTTTAAATGGAAATTATTTTAAATACCCTATAAAACAAAAGTCAAGATAAATGAAAAAATTCAAACATTTTTGGTCTCAGATAAAACATGAGACAACATAATTACACGAACTCTATTTATTTTTTTAGAGATGCAGTTTCGCTCTTGTCGCCCAGGCTGTGCACTGGCACAATCTCGGCTCACTGTAACCTCTGCCTCCCACGTCCAAGTGATTCTCCTGCCTCAGCCTCCCAAGTAACTGGGATTACAGGCACCCACCACCAAGCCCAGCTAATTTTTGTAGCAGAGATGGGGTTTCCCTATGTTGGCCAGGCTGGTCCTGAACTCCTGAGCTCAGGTGATCCACCTGCCTCAGCCTCCCAAAGTGCTGGGATTACAAGCGTGAGCCACCATGCCAGGCCAGGTGAACTTTAAAGTTGTAAGTACCGCAAACCAAAACTAACTCAATCCATTATCGTATGCTAGACAGGCATGACCTTAAATGCTGCACCCAAGTTGGCTATTACACCGGTGTGATTACTCAAAATCATCTTTCTCAATACTAAAATTCAGGACCAAGAATTTTTTGTTTTTAATTTACTTTTTTTTGAAAGAGAGTCTCACCCTATCGCCCAGACTGAAGCACAGTGGCAAAATCTTGGCTCACTGCAACCTCTGCCTCCTGAGTTCAAGCAATTCTCCTGCCTTGCCCTCCTGAGTAGGTAAGATTACAGGCACCTGCCACCACGCCCGGCTAATTTTTGTAATTTTTAGTAGAGATGGGGTTTCACCATGTTGGCCAGGCTGGTCTCAAACTCCTGACCTCAAATGATCCGCCTGCCTCGGCCTCCCAAAGTAGTGAAATTACAGGTATGAGCCACTGTGCCCAGCCTATTTTTAATAATTAATATCTGATACGTCCTAGTCTTCTGAAGGACTGTTTCTTCCTTTGGATTAACTCTAAGCAACCTAAGAGTTGCTAAGAAATTACCTCTCTGTTCAAGTGTTGTAAAAATAAAGCTACATAGATCATTGCTTATCACGTTGACCTGCATGCAGATCCTTTCTAAACCCAGATTTCATGTTTCAAAGTTTTGAAATACAAAATATTTTAATTAAAAATGAACAAGTAGTTTACACATTAATTTACATTACAGGTTAATTATTTAATCATTAAAAGCTATAATGTCTGTTTTAATGGCATCTTAATGCAACACATCAAAAAAGAATTCCTTGTTGACCTGTTGCATTGAAAATGTTCAACATCCCAAAAAGCTTAAATAGTTTTGGTAAATAACCAAATAAGATTTCCAATAAAACTGTAAAATTCACCTAACAATAAAAAAAGTTTTTCTGTCCAAAAATAAAATCCAATTATGAGCTGTTCATGAGGGAAAAAAAGAATTAACTTCATATCAAGTGAAAACATGTTATCTAGTGAAATATAAGACCAACTGCTTTTCCTGACTCTGATTTAAGTAAAAGGCATCCTAGTTACCAATGGTTAACAAAAACTTCTTTTATCCTTAAAGATTTGAATTAAGATCTAATTAACTTAGTCTGGGTCACCTTCATTTGATTTTTAACGTAGCACTTAGCATGGAAGTTCACAATAACAAAAAGCAATTTGCATCATAATATGGTTAATTCCTATCTCTTGCAACTGCTATTAAAAATCTTGCAATTGCTATTAAACAATGAGTATTTTATATAAAATAAAATATTCATTTTATATTATACAAAGTAAAATACTCATATTTATTTTATATAAAGTAAAATACACCTTTTTTATATAAAGTAAAATGTTTAATAGCAATTGCAAGATTTTTAGTTAAATACCATCCACTTCTAATTTAGTGTAGAAAACAACAAATATTATTCCTCCATATTAAGTAAATTTGTAGGTAATACAAAAAATTATCCTGTCAATGTCAAGAAAAAAATAAGGCTCCCCCCAACTTTTGCACATTACAAAACAGGTAGCAAATACGAGCCACTTCAATTTTAAACCCAGTCTAAAAGCCAGTAACATTCATAGAGTAATATTTCAAATAGTATTCCTGTTAATTTGCCAGTCAACACAAAAAGCAATTTTACCATAAAGTAAAAATAATTATATTTTCAATATTAAAAACTCTCATAAATTATCATGAAATTGGGGGAAAAAAGTCTGACAGAATACAAATATTTAACATTTATTCTAACACATAACTGGGAACAGTCCCTGATCACCCTACGTATTTGAGATGTAAATGTGTTTGCTTCAACAAAAGATTCACGTCCAAGAAATAATTAAGCACCTACCATCTGCTAAAAATAAATCCTTTGGAGATAAAAGTTTTTATACATTATTAAAATAATTTTTAAATAGTAAACATAAAATAGCATCTGTTGAGAAAACTGCATACTAGTATTTCCCAACCAGTTTTGATAGCTCTTCAAAGTTCTGTTGGTTTTATACATTTTAAGCACAGTATGGTTGTACACATTTAAGTCCTAGTAGTAGCTTCCAGAAATGCAGAGTTGTTAGGGTTTACATAAAACACACCTTCAAAAATTAAACCACAGGTTTCTTTAGGAGATTGATGAGTGAAAATGAGTACATTATTCTTGGAAATTAAGAAGCCAATTTAAGAAATTATTATTTCCCTAAGACCACTAAGGTATACACTAAGGGGAAATTTTTCTCCTATTAATTAGCTTTTCTCTTTACTTCCTCAATAGATTCAAGAAGTCCTAGAGTTTACTGGGGGCATATATGGCAAAGATTTCTCGCTGGAAGCTGTGAGGAAGTCAGACAAGCCAAAATTGCAGGGCAGTTATTAGTCCTACAGAGTTGATGGGAAATGGAGACCTGTCAAGGCTCTACACTTAAACTGGGATCAGAGAGATCCTTTTATTTACACTGACAACGAAAGGATATATGATCAAAATGTAGGCTCTAAAAATAAAATTTACTCTCCAATTACATTATAGTTTTCTACAAATCCACTTAAACAGATAAACAACTAATCCTTCAAACTCAGCTATCCTGGAACAAAGACTATTTGACTAGCTTCCCCCAAGGGACCAAATTCTTTCAAAACTCTCTGGGAACAAAAATTATGCCTAACCTTTTAATAAATTTGCCTAGACAATCCTAACTTAAAACATACATAGTAAATTAACAAAAAACAAACAATTATAGCATTGTTATTTATAAAGTAACCATTCAAAATAAGGTACAATATTTAAAAAAAAAAAAAAGCCAGTCTCATTTTACAGGAACTAAAACATCAAAAATAAAAATAAAAATAAAAACACCCACCACCACCACCAAAAAGAAACAAACAAAACCTAAAGCAATAAAGCAAGCCAATACGAAGAAAGCTAGTAAACTGAAGACAGCTTTTCCTATAATTTCTAACTTGGTATTTTTCATTTGAGGCCAAATAAGTTCAACTGCTTTGTCTGTCTAGACCTGACTAAGGTCTCTACGAAGAAAAACATTGGGCACACTGTTCCCTCCTACGGCCACACAAATCAAATTTATAAAAATACACTGACTTTGTATACTGAATAGTAAGTTTAAAGTACCAAGCTTCTGAACCACAGACCTTAATCACCTAGCCTTTAAAATAAATGCACAATCTTCACACAGCAGTGAAGAATCTGGACTGATATACTTGCTCATATCAAAATACAAATGAGTACTGACCTCAAATTCCTATACAAACTTGCCCACTATCCACCAACATTTCACTTTATAATAAAATATTTCAAATATTCTAAGTAAGGTTGTGTGCTCAGTCTTCCATGATGAAGCTCACTGGTATGTAGAAAATCCCTAAGCCAGTTACTTCTCTAATTATTTCGTAGGCTAGAACCTTATCATCAACCTAGTTGATACAGTCACCATATGAAGTAAATGCTGCTCTAAAATATTTACAATGGAATAAAAGAATCATGAAACAGTGTATACTCTCCAACCTTTTTAAGTACTACTAGATTGAAAGGCACTCATCTTTCCGTTGCTTCACAATCAGAATGGTCATTAAATGTCATTAGTGGCCCACTCATATCTCACTGCTTAGTTCAACCCAAAAAGATAGAACTCCCACTACGAAAGTGAATTCTAATCTTTCACACTTTAAAAAATACAGTTAAATAACACTTGACACCATTTAATTTTCAGTCTCAGTCTGTAAGATTCTGAAAAGAGCATAAAATGGATTCAAGACCCTATTGTGGTAATGTTTTTATTTATGGTCTATTAAAACAGACTAAATTCCACAATCCTATAATAGGTAAATGGGCATACTTGAAGAGGAAAAAAAATCAAGAATCGGAGCCTTAAACTTACATAATGATGATAGTATGCTGTAAGACGATTGTTAAAAGGCAGCACGGAGCTTCACTTTACCAAATACACAATCAACTTTGAAAATTCTTAAGGAAAGCTTAAATACATGGGAAAAATGGATGGCAAAATATAATGGCATCTCTACACCCAATGAAGTAACAGGTTTAGGCTTGTTTGTACAGCTCCCTAAAATTTAAGCTGAAACAGCATACAAAAACCAAAATCCACAAAATGGGTCAAGAAGTGGTTGGGAAATGTCTTACTCTAGATTGAAACATTTAATCATACAAAATAGATTGTACTTATACACTTATTAAACATTTTAATCTACTTTGGCATACTGAATAAAACATGGCTGGATTAAACCAAACAAAAACTATTATTGGTACCAAAATAATTTTTTTTAATGTTGAAGCGCACCTATCATCACCACTGAAATTTGCAAGGCTTTTTTTTTTTTTTTTTTCAAAAGTGGAGACATTTTATTTGCCTTTCAGGAAAAACGAATCAAATTAATCAACTAAAACACAGCATTGTAATTTGCAGTAAAAAATCAACACATTTTTGTAACTGGCTCGGGGAAGGAAAAAAAAGCCCTGTCTTTTCATGTAAACATAATAAGCCTGTAATATGCTGCAGACAAACGCACTGCATGGGGTGTGGAGGACCCGAGCTGATTAGATTACCACAACATCAGCCTGGGGCCGCCATTTTTAGAATCTGTAAAGGACAAAAGAGGGAAATTTCAGTTTTTACTCCCCATCTCAGAAATTGAAGGAAAAAACAGACTATTTTTCAAATAGGTATTCGTGTCTCCAGCCTAGAGTTGAATGCACCTCACTTAATTCTCTCCAAGGTCTCCAGAACTCCAAACACCTTACCTTATTCACATCTCTAAAAGGGGAACAAAATAGGCAAAACGAGGTTTACTCTAGAACTAACTCTAGCGATTTCTCTTTGACTTTAAATTGTATCATTCTTAGGACAGAGCCCAGCAAGGACGGATCTATACGGAACTAAGGCCAGTAGAAGAGAGCACTCTGGATTGTTTTTTCTCACCCCCACCTCGTTTAGCACAGTGAACCGTTTGTTTCTCATCTGTGTCTGCTGCCACAGGGTCTGTGCCAATCCCTTGGTCAAAATAAGCTTTTCTGAAATGAGCCATATTGTAGATCCTAAGGCTCCGGCACAGTAAAGCACGGCGGTAATGCAAAACGAGTGGGGGAGGAGACTCAGAAGGCTGGGTACTGGGGTGACCACCTCAGGGGCGGGTTCACCCTCTCCAGTAGAGGATGAGGAGCTAGCTGTCTCGCTTTCCCACAAAGAGAGATGCCCAGGGCGTTCTTCTTACCCCCTTCGTATTCATGTGCACATTATACCAGAGACTGCCCATCAAGAAATGGAAGAAGAAAATGGGGCCTATATGGCTTTTCAGCACCTGAACAAGACACGGTTGAGAAAAGGGAGCGCTGGCAGCTCCTGGGACCACTTCGACACAAACCCTACCAACAGTCACAAGCCTCCCTCTTCACTCAAGCGGCCTTAACCCGCTGCCAATGAGGAGTGCGCCCCCTCCCTAACTCCCACTCTCAAGGGGGTTTAACTGCCAGTTTCCCCTTCCCCAACCCTAAAACCCGCCATAATGCTCCATTTCTAGGGTCAGGGAAAAGAAAGGATACATTGGATTTAAGCAAGCAACGTCTTGCGCCGGCAAAGACACCTGAGAGTCAACGTCTACTCCCCCAGCTTAAGGATAAAGATGAGAGACCTCCCTCCCCCTTCAAACACAAGTCCCCCAACCCTGCAAGCCCCAGGAACTCCCACGGAGACGACAGGCACTGACCTGTGATGTTCACACACGAGACACCCGAACTCCGTTATGTGCTCGACCCCCAAGGAGTCTCTCCGCACCTCCGCACACAGGCGACCCCCCGACAGCAGCCACTGCGGACACAGGACCCGGCTCCACACACCCCCTCCCCAAACAGCAGCGCGCAGCCTCTTCACCAGGAACCGAGTAGGGGAGGGGGCACCCAGGCAGTCAACAGGAACGCAGAGGCGACGGCGAGGCTGCTCGGAGTGTCTATGCCCACTCTGTTGCCGCTCCCGAACTCCGGCACGGTCTCCGACTCGGCCCCCTGCGCCCGCTCAGTGTCACTGCTTCTCGCTCTGGGAAAATGGCGGCGACGGCGGCGGCGGCCGCGGCGGCGGCGGCGGCGGCGGCGGCGGCAAGTGCACGGGGCCCGCCCGTCCCGCTCCGCAGGGGCAGAGGGGGAGGGGATGAAGCTGCCCGGCGCCATTTTGCTTGTGGGCTGCCGCCCGCCGTTGCCTCTCAGCGGAGGCTCGAAGATAGCAAACTGGAGGCGGTGAGGGGGACGGAGTCTCTGTATTTCTGACAACAGATGCATTCAACAATCCACCGAAGGTTTGAGGAAGTGTCGGTGTTCGGTGGGACTGGTTCTTTCCCCTTTTCCCCCAGTGGCCCTCAAATCTGGATATAGGTGAGCTTGGGCATGCCAGTATTGGGTGCACGGACAAGGACAGCAGGGCCTGGGAACGAACTCCCTCCCGTCACCCTTCGAAAGCGATACACTTTCTTCTCCTCCCAAACAACCCCAGTCCCGTCTCTCCGTCCCTCTCCCCCTCCTCCCCCAGCCCAGTCTGGCCTCCGGCGCTGGGTGAACCCGGTTGGGGTGTCACTCGACGCCCACTAGGGGCTGAGGAGGCTCCAGTGCGCAGGCTCCGGGCACCGGATAAAAGCGGAGCTGGCGAGTCCCGCGCTGTCTCGATGGAGGAGCAAGAAACGGAAGAGGTCGGGGGGAGAAGCAGCAGGAAAAATGCAGCCACCGTCAACGCCGCCTCCCTGCCACCGTGTTTCGGGGTAAAAAGCTGCCGTTGCCGTCGGTGCAGTTGCAGTCGCTGCCTCCTATACTTCTCTTGGCCTCGGGGAAGGATTTCCCCACCGGTGGGACAATGTGCGGGGAGGGGAGTGGGAATTCCTTTATGTGGCGGTGATTAAACGAGGGAGGGATAGAGAGACAGTGATCTCGAAGAAAAAAGGGGGAGACCAAAGAATAAAAGGGTTTCCCCACTAAAATGACACGGCGATTCCGGCTCTTGTTTTCGGGGTCTTTCCCCGAAATGGTTTGCGTCTTCTCCTTGCCCCGCAGCGACCCGGAGCGCGGGGGGGAGCAGAGTGGGGAGAGGCAGAGGTGGTCTCGGCAGCCAATCGGCGCCTGATGTGTCCTGTCGGGCGCGTCGTGGTTGGCTGGCGATGACCTCATCCTGCAGCAGCGGGTGGGGCCAAAGCTGTAGGGGGAGGCTGTTGCAAAGGTAGAGAGGGAGAAGTGACGATGGCGATCGTTGTTGCCGCGGCCGATGTGGAACCCAAGCAGTGGCGAAGGGAATCGCAAGGCTCTTCCCTGACCATTTTCTCCTGTCCCTGCGCGAGGTGAGGGCCCCGGCTCGGCCTCTGCGAAACTTTGGGGCGCTGGCGCGGAGGAGGAGACAGGATTTCTCCCGTGACTTTTGTAACTGCGTCAGGGCAAGATGGCGCTGGGTCTCCTTGGGGCGCGGGGGGAGAGGCACGTCCACCGCCGCAGCGCATGTGACCGGGCTGCATTCCTGTGGGGTTTGGCTCCGACCCAGGCCGGGGCGGGGGAGGGGACAGGGCTTGGGCGGAGGAGACTGTGGTGCGGTCGGCGTTGGCGGCCCGAAGAGGAAGAGATGACTGTTGGAAAGCGTTCCCCTCCCCCATACGGCAGAACAGCTGCGGCTCCCAGGGGAAAGCCCCCGCAGGACACTCCTCGTGGGGTGTGACGGCTGTTGGTGGAGAAGGTTTGGCGCCCTATTTTCTTATCTGCCTTTCTCCCCGCAAAGTATACTTACGTAAGGTGGTAGTTCTCTGACGTGGGACTCGGAATCAACTTTGAGTCCTTGAGGGTCACTGCGAGGCCTAGTGAGGGGTAAATTAGCTTCTGGGGGTACAACGTCAAGGAGGATCGATTAATTTCTGAGGAAACAGTTTCTCAGATTGAAATAGAAAAGTATTTCCAAAGTTTAGAAACAAATGTAAAGGTGTAAATAACACCTAGGAACACTTCAGTTGCTTTTAAACGGCACAAGCAGCCATCTGAATTCAAGGGTCCTTTTCAGACTGTTCCTTCTGTACTTCCTGTTCTTTATTCCAGTTTCCTATCTGTACATCCCTTAAGAATATAGTTTTGTTGGTGGAATTTGCTTTTTTTATTTTTTTTTATTTTTTTTTTTTGAGACGGAGTCTCGCTCTGTTGTGCCCAGGCTGGAGTGCAGTGGTGCGATCTAGGCTCACTGCAACCTCCGCCTGCCCGGGTTGAAGCGATTCTCCTGCCTCAGCCTCCCAAGTAGCTGGGATTACAGGCGCCCACAACCACACCCGGCTGATTTTTTTATTTTTAGTAGAGACGAGGTTTCACCATATTGGCCAGGCTGGTCTCGAACTGTCGAGATCCTCCCGCCTTAGCTTCCGAAAGTGCTGGGATTATAGGCCTGAGCCACTGCCCCAGGCCTGCTTTTTACTTTTTATTTTTTATTTTTGGCATTAGGCGTTAGTAATACAGAATAAAAGCCGTGTTTTAAACTGTATGAAGTTGTAAGACTTTTCAGTACTTTTAGTGTGTTTTCTTTCTGTTGCCCTTTTGTAGTTTTTAAAAATAAAAGACGCAATTACAAGCACTTCCGGTGAATATTATTCCTTAAGATTCCTGCATCATTATGACATTTGAAGCACTTTTGTAGTAGTAAAAACTATACTTTTAGCTTTTGAAACCTCGGTAGGAGAAAATATCCAGCAGTTTGTAAGGGCTATTTTGGCATATTCAGTAAGGTAGAATATGTTTTTTGTTTTTCGCACTTGGCTAAACTATAGTAGTCAAAACTAGCAAAAATTTTTAAAGGGCTTCTCCTTTTGGGTGGTGTAGAGGGTGGGGAGTTACTCAACAAACACATTTGCAGCTAAAATCTGGCCTACTTCTTGATGGAGCACTTATGCTTGGTGCTAGGAGAAAATGATTGCTGGACCTGAAAAGAACCTGAGGTCAAGGTTGTGCTATTTCAGATCCTTAAGGCTTAGTTGTAGGCTCTTGGTAGTTTGAAAACAAGATTGGGTTTTTAATTTGTTTGTGTATCTTTACATCCTCACTAGTTTTTGTGGATTTCCTTTTTCAGTTATTAAGCAACTGAATGTGGATGAACTATAAATAGTACAAAGAATGTAATTAGGTCCACTCTGAATAGAAAGCATTAAGAACTCTTGAATGTCTTCAAGGGTTACTTTGTTACGTGTAAGATGTCTCCCCTTCCTTCATAGCAGTTTTTATTCCTGCTTAAAAAAGGAACTAAATATAAAGTCAGTAGATTTTAAGGTAATTTTCAGAATGTTTCTACTTTCACCGTGCCTTAATAAGGAAAAGAGGCCATTTTCCAAGCGAATGGAAACACCCTTTCCTTGTTTTGTGCCTTTAATCAGA